TTTTTTTTTTTTTTCTGAAGAAGAGTCCTCTGATGCTGCGTGGCCTGCTGTGTTCCTCCAGCTCCACACTGTGTTATCTCTGACTCCAGCATCAGCAGTTCTTACTATCTCTGATTGACTAGGTTGGGATTGTTTTCGCTAGAGTTCAGATGAAAGGGGGGGATATCTCATGGAAACGTACAAAATTCCAACAGGACTGGACAGGGTAGATGCAGGGATGATGTTCCCATTGGTAGGTGTGTCCAGAACCAGGGGTCACGGTCTGAGGATTTGAGGTACACAACTTAGGACAGAGATGAGAAGACATTTTTTCACCCAAAGAGTGGTGAGCCTGTGGAATTTATTACCACAGGAAGTAGTTGATGTCAAAACATTGAACGTATTCAAGAAGCAAGTGGATATAGCACTTGGGGTGAATAGGATCGAAGGTTATGGGGAGAAAACAGGATTAAGCTATTGAGTTAGACGATCACCCATGATCATGATAAATGACGGAGCAGGTTCGAAGGGTTGAATGGCCTCATCCTGCTCCTGTCTTCTATGTTTCTATGTGTGTTTCTATAATGTTTAGCTATTTAACTTCGTTTTCCTTGTTTTTCTGTTTTGTACCAAGATTCCGTACCTGAGTACCTTTGTACCTAAGATAGCATCATATCATGTGTTCTGCTTTGGAATTTCAGAAGAATTATCAAAAAAATGTACTATAAAGCAATGAATGGAATGCTGTGATCTTATCAGTATTTGACTGCAATATTTCTTTTAGGAATATGGTTCTAGCGCTTAAGGAACTCTCAATCCGTGGAGACTTTAGAACAACTGTCCAGTATTTGATCAAGCTGTTGGAAACAGAGAGCTTTCAGCTTAACACCATTGATACTAGCTGGCTTGACCACCTCATCGCTGATAAAGTACAGGTAATGATATTGACTGAGCGTGTGAGGGAAAAAGTTATATCTGTGGGAATTAAATAAGACATAGCTTTCATTAAGTCCCTTTAAGCATTGTACTCTAAGGCCAGTTCAGGCTAATTAATAAAAAAATGCTTTTATATATTGACTTTTCACAAACATGGGATATACCAAAACACTTAACAGCCACTTAATTTTGAAGTGTAGTCATTATTATAATGTGGGAAATACAACATCCAACTTTCACAAGTCAAGCATCCACAAAAAGTTTAACATTCTTGCGAAGATTTGGACTACAACCAGCCAGCTCAGCGAGCAAGTCAATGACCTCATCCCCAAAAAGTAATGTGATACTTGTTTCTGTATTCCTGACGTCTGTTGCTGGATAAATATTGTACAGAACGCTGAGGATAACTCCAGTGCTTTTCTTTTACATCCAGCTAAGAGAACTGATGGGTCCTCTGTTTAAGGTCTCTTTCGAAAGCATGGTACTTCTGCCAGTGACTCATCCTTCAAGACTGACTAGAGTCATTAGCTTTAAGTTTTGTGCTCAAATTATGAGTTGAACACACAATATTCTGATTCAGAGGTAATTGTGTTCCCAGATTTCAACCACACTTGTATACCTCTACACTTCATAACCATAGGCAGTCAGTACTATGAGCTGTGAAGTAGATTGGATTGGTGGCTGGTGGATCATTGCATTATATCATGAAGTGGTGGTGCTTACTAGTCCCAGAATGCAGAGTTCCTGATCCCTTCATTTTGTTGATCCAAAAGGAGTTGCCAAGCAAAACATAGAAGCTATCCTGGCACAAAGGTGGGAGAAATCTACAAACATATGAATTCAGAGCTAGACTGGGCCAGAAACTGAACTGGACCAGACATACAAATATTGTGACTTCAAAAGCAGGTCAGAGGCTGGGAATTCTACTGCAAGTAACTCACCTCCAGACTCCATGAATTCTGTCCAAAAGGCATAAGTCAGGATTGTCTTTCAGTACTCTCCAACAACGTTCTTAACACCATTCAGGACAAAGCAGCCCATTTACTTGGCACTAGGAGGAGGGAGAGAAATCATGGCCCCCGGTGCTGCTCCTGGCCCTGTCCTCAGCCCCCATTCTGACCATAATTAGCCCTCAAAGTCCCAGGCATAGATTACTGGCCCTGATGTGCTCTCTAGTCCCAAACTCTGATTGACATATCATCAACACTCCTATCTCAACATTCATTCATTCCCTCCACCAACAATGCGCAGTAACAGCAGTGTGTACCCCTTACAAGGCGCACTGCAGTAATTCACTAAGGCACTTTCGGCACCTTCCAAACCTGCACATACTACCACCAAAAATTACAAGGGCAGTAACTACCTGGGACTATCACCACCTGCAAGCTCCTCTCCAAGTCTCGCACCATCCTGACTTTGAATTACAGTTTATCACTGTTCTTTCACCGTCAAGATTCTCGCATCCTTTCCTGACAGCACTGTGACTGTGCCTACCCGAGATGGTCAGCAATTCAAAAAGGCAGCTCATCACCGTCTTCTCCACGGTAATTACAGTTGGGCAATAAATGTTGGCCTAACCAGTGATACCCATGTCGTATGACTAAATCAATCAAAAGGATTTTTTTTATTACAATAAACTCCCTTCTCATTCTTCTAAACTCTACCAGTTCAGTGCTATCTTACTCTAGTATCTTGTGAAAGAAGTGGAAGTGTAATTGGCACAGTAGGGAGTGCTTTGCTGAAGTTGGAGTTAAAATGTTGTTTTTGAATAGAGCAGTTCATTTGCTTCTGATATGTTTGATTAACCACTCGGTGCTATAAATGAAAGCCTGTGTTGCCTAGTAATGATACCCTTCACGTGCAAAAATGAGTTAAGAAATGCAAAACAAGAACTGTCTGTTATTAAAAAAACGTTACCAAGGAAATATTTTATATTAATTAATATTTCTCTCCCTTTAGGCAGAGAGACCAGATACAATGCTTGGAGTGGTGTGTGGTGCTTTACATGTGGCAGATTCAGCCTTTCAAACAAGTATGACCAACTTCCTACATTCTCTTGAAAGGCAAGTTATGGATGGGGTCAGTTGGGGTAAGTTCTGTGTATACAGGGGAGATGAGTTGCTGGGTCATTGAGAATTGTTTGAATAGTGTGATATAAATATCTTGCATGTTAATCCAGGTTATTAACATGCTAAGGAAGAATTTCCTCAGTTGAATGTGATTTAAGAGTATTGGGAGTAAGTCCAAAAGAAAAGTTGCACCAGGCTTAAAGCAAATCCAACAACCTCAACTGAAATTTGACATTTGTTTTATTTCCAATTGACCATCTTTCTATTGACAAGCAATCTGTGTATATTTTTCAGAAAGATGCACAGCAACATTTATCTTGGTGGCGCAGGCAATTGGTGGATTTTATTTTCTTTGCAACTGTTGTTTAATGATGTACAATGTGCTGTGTATCTTGTGAGAAATAGGTAGTGAAATTAATTACAAATGAAAAATAGAGAAAGTCCAAAATAATAGCAGAGAAATCTGAATGTTACTTCTTTTTTACTGTCAACCATAGCTCAGTTGTTAGCACTTCTCTACTCTGCATCAGAAGGTTGGAGTTTGAAGTCTGACTCCTGAACTTCGACTCAAATGTTAAGGTGGACGCTCTAGTGTGGCACTGAAGAGGTAAAAACAGGAAGTGTTAGAGTAACTCAGCAGATCTGAAAGAGAAAGAAAAACAGAGTTAACATTTTAGGTCCAATGTGACTACTTCAGAACTCAAGATGCTTTAGCTGCTCTGAGAGTGGCTTAATATTTGGATCTGTGCATGAGGTTCTTGTGAAACGCTTCTGTGAAAAATTGAAATTTCTGCACTCCAAGTCATAGACAGCACGGAAACAGACCCTTTGGTCTAACTCGTCCATCCTGACCAGATATCCTAAATAAACCTAATCCCATTTGCCAGCATTTGGCCCATATCTCTCCCGACCCTTCCTATTCATATAGCCATCCAGGTGCCTTTTAAATGTTGTAATTCTACCAGCCTCTATCAGTTCCTCTGGAAGCTCATTCCATACACGCACCACCCTCTGCATGAAAAGTTTCCCCTTAGGTTCCTTTTAAATCTTCCCCCCTCACCTTAAATCTGTGCTTTCTAGTTTAGGATTCCCCCACCCCGGGGAAAAGACCTTGTTTATTTACCCTATCCAAGCCCCTTATGATTTTATAAACCTCTGAGGTCATCCTTCAGCCTCTGACATTCCAGGGAAAATAGCCCCAGCCTATTCAGCCTCTCCCTATAGCTCAAACCCTCCAACCCCTGCAACATCCTTGTAAATCTTTTCTGAACCCTTTCAAGTTTCACAACACCCTTCCTGTAGCAGGGAGACCAGAAATGAACGCAGAATTCCAAAAGTGGCCTAACCAATGTCTTGTACAGCCGCAACATGACTGCCCAACTCCTATGCTCCATGCACTAACCAATAAAACTCCTTAGAACCTTGCCTCCTTAATCTTTCTCTGGTCTTTCTAGGAAGGAAGAAATCAGGTAATAAGAAGCTCTTGTAAATGGCATGTTACTTTAATTTGATTTTCAGATTTTCATTCGAAACCATATAAATTTATTTCCCTTTTCTCATTTGCAGAGGTCAGGTTCTCCCAGCAAACAGCCTGTTAAATGCAGTAGATGTGGAGCTTATTTATGAAGAAACTAAATATTCCTTGCAGGTAGGTGATTTAGTGAAGGCTTTTTCTGTTTAATTTTCTTTCATTCTTCTCCCTTCGTTGAATTTGTGCATGTAGTTTTGATTTATTGATTAAATGGTTATTGGATTGACTGTTGAGCCCAGTAATGTGAGGGAGCTGATTCACAGTCAGTTAAGTGCAACATTTCCCATCTCAAAGTATTCCTGAAACCTTTCAATTAGTTCTGAATTATTAGTAGTTTTGGTGTGGCCTCCTGTCCAGTGTGAACTGAATAATAAGTTAAACAAACATTATGCATGACCTTTGTCAGGTTCACAAAGGGGACTTCACCCTTCAATCTTGAATGTTAAAATGTTCTTTGAAGTGAATAGTTTGCAGATGTTGCCAAAATATCTCAGTCATATCACCTTTTTACCTTGTGTTATTCATTTTTGGAATTGATAAAATGTGGACATCCTACCAGGATAAATATTCCCTTTCACTGTGACCAAGCCTTCATATATTCCCTATCCTTTGGTCAAGCAGGTTGAAACAATTTCATTTGTTGTTGTGTGAATTTTGACGTACTAATTTTCACATTCAATGTGCAGGTGGCCCGTCAGTCATTGACGCTTTATGTTGTTATTATGAACAACTCGCATATTGAGATTGACGTTCACCGGCTAAGTGATGGAGGCCTCTTATTATCCTATGATGGCAATAGTTACACTACGTACATGAAAGAGGAGTTAGACAAGTAAGAAATCCCATCCTGCAAGCATAGCCACATTGCTTGAAGTTTTTTGTTTTTATTTACTTGAACCATTTGCACTAACAGGTATTTGATCACTATTGGTAACAAGACTTGTGTGTTTGAGAAGGAGAAGGATCCCACTGTATTGAGGTCTCCCTCTGCTGGAAAACTACTGCAGTACCTCGTTGAAGATGGAAGTCATGTCTTTGCAAAACATTGCTATGCAGAGATTGAGGTGTGTTAAACTTCAAGACAATGTATTATTCCTCCCAAAAAATATACATCTGTATTGAAGTACTATTAAATTTTGATGCTTCAATGCCTCACACATCAACTATTCACAAGATCTACTCCTATCCCCACATGATGGCCCACATAAGCAAGCTTTCAGCTGAGAGTGTTGTACAGTGATAAACAGTAATCCCAGCAAATTTAGCTGTTTTTGGATTCCAGTGAACTGACTGCCTGTACCACTGATTGATTGAGATGAGCTAATTGAGTACAGATCAGATGTTAGACATAGTTATTTTTATTACTAAACCATAAAAGGAATTGTTCATTGGGTGCATTTAACACAGACTGAAGCCCACTCCCAAGCCCCACCTTCCAACCTCATGTAAATTGAATACTATTTACAACAATTTGTAAATACTACAATGTTTTTTGTACAATCCTCACTTACAATTTCTTGATTGAAGAGGTCCTTATGGTGACCTCCAGTTAGTTATGTTTGAAGTACTTTATTAATAAAATAGTCAGTTTTACAGCAGTGTTGAGATTTTGCTACTTTACCTTGGCACGAGGCCTCTGTGCAAAAGAAAGCAGGGGACTTCTTTTTGTTAGAAAGGGGAATTGTAAATTTTCAGCACAGAATCATGTGTACAGTATAAATTGAAATAAAAGCAGAAAAATGCAGGAAAATCTCAGCTGTTTATGGCAGCATCTGTGGTCAGAAACAGTTAGTGTTTCAGATCTTTGACCTTTCATTAGAGCTCAAAAAGTCTGGCTTGACTTGCTTCCATGCAGGTGATGAAGATGGTGATGGCTTTGGCTGTTGAAGAATCAGGATGTGTACATTATGTAAAGAGACCAGGCGCCTGCCTAGAGCAAGGCTGCATAGTAGCTAAAATGGAATTAGATGACCCCAAGAAAGTTCATACAGTAAGTGTTCTTCCAACTACATAAACTGTTGTGCTGGCAATGTTTTACACTACATATTGTTTAATCCTTCAATTAACAGGTAAAGATTTATCTGATGAAGTTTCATCCTTCAGCTTTACATTCCTGTGCCTAAGATTCGAGGTAGCAAATGCTGGGATATGACACAGATTGGAAATTTTACTTGGACTACCTAACTATATTGTACAGGAAGAAAGGATCTGGTTGGTCGAAGTGAGGGAAAGGGCAATCAGGAAAAGTGTTTTCTATTAAAAAATCTTTATCCTTTTAAATTAGATGCATATTTTGTTTGAATAACACTAATCAAATTACCTTACACAAATGGCTCTGACAATTTGTCTGATATTTCCCAATCCTTTTTCTCTTCTCTTCCATTACCATTCTGATACTTCTTTTCTTGCTTTCTTTTACTCCTGAGCTGGTGATATCGCTAATGGGAAGGACTCCCCTTTAAACAACAAATCTGCACGGGCTCAGAATCAGTGGAGACATTTGAATCCCTGATAAAAAGACACCATTTGTTGAAACTTTTCATCTTGTGCTCATCTGGATGATTTGCAAGAGTATGAATTTAAGGGCGAAAGCAGCTTGGTGAATCACTATGTGAGAAAAGTGCTGTTTGGCGGGTAATTAATTTTCATGGAGTTTTATATCACTGAGCATAGATAGCACGGTATGGACAGAGCCAAAACACTCTAAAATAAGAAAAAGTTATGAAAGCACATAGACTTGAACATATGACTATATGGCAATCAATATCTGATTGGTCGACTCTGATTCCTCCATTTTGCAATATTTGCTGTATAATCCTGAGAGTGCAAAGAATTATGCTATCAGCCAGTTTAGGATTGTTGGTTGGACCTGCAGTATGGCACATTTATGTACTGGAAGCTGCATATAATAATATACAGGGCCCTGTTCTTTGCAGGTAGAAAGCATATGTGTGCACACACATTGCCCATATCAACTCCAAATAAATAGCTGACAGCTATTCTCTGCCTCATTTCTCAGGGCAATGCCTTTAGCAATTGGAGTCAACCTGTCTGGTTTAAAATTTTATCAAAGTCTGGCAGTTATAATTAGTTGGTGCATACTCCATGGCAATACCTTTACCAATCAGAGCCCTTCTGCGAATTCCCCTCTAAAAAGTCTAAGTGTTGGTTTTCCCTTAAATTGTTATTCATGCAAATTGACCTTGATGAGTACAAGATGCAATCTTCAATAGAATGAATATTTTTCGAACAAACTCATGTTCTGAAATCATCTTCATTAAGGTTGTTCAGGACCTTGAAGCAACCTGTGATGTTATCATAGAGCTTCACATCACTGAGTGTAAATAAGACAGTATGATGGAGCTAGAACAATCTAAAATGAGAGAGTTGTGAAAGTACCTGGATATGAACATGTGAAGAAGAAAGATTACTACCTGCCTACTGTAATGATAAGATCATATATATATGATTGCTGTGTATTGTAGTATTTGGAATTTTAAAAATTGTGTTGCTTTGAAGTTTAAGGCCGAAGATAGGCTGCTCAGGGCAAAATCCAGGACTATCTTGAATCCAAACTCGTAATGTGGCATCAAATCAAACAATAAAAGAATCTGAAGCTTGAAAATACACACAAACAGTAAACTATATGGTATTCCCATATTTCTAACTGTAAATGTTGGTTTAACAACTATTAACAGCTGCATCACTGTGATTCTGAATCTTATTCTCTAGGCCCATTTGCACACAGGAGTCTTTCCACCACAGCAGTCGTCAGCTATTGTTGGCAAGAAACTCCATCAGGTCTTTCATAGTGTGCTAGAGAACCTGGTCAATGTTATGAATGGTTACTGTTTGCCTGAACCCTACTTCAGCACTAAGGTGAGTCATAGAGTCATGTAGCTACACCGCATGGAAACAGAATCTTCGGTCCAATTCGTTCATGTCAACCAGATATCCTGAATAAATCTAGTCCCATTTGTAGGCATTTGGCCCAAATCCCTCTAAACCCTTCCTATTCATATACCCATCCAGATGCCTTTTAAATAGTGTAATTGTACCAGCTACCACCACTTCCTCTGGCGGCTCATTCCATACATGCACCACTCTCTGCAACTCCTTTTCTTTATATTCAGTCTATCCAAACACTGATCAATTAATTGAATAGATTGGGCAATCTTTTTCCTGTTATGTTTTGCAGGTGCATATGAGCATCATTTAAAAGCCTAAAATGAAGGATTGCCTTAATCTCCATGCTGTGTTCAACTATACTGAACTGTTCCTTGGTTGATCATTTTGGATTTATCAATTCACCCAGGTGCCTCCCCTAAAAGTGCATGCATAATCTTTTGTGCTGCAAATATTTTCCATGATCTGTTATGAGCAATCAAAACACAAGATACTATGGGTTGAATCTTAAGTACATTTTTGGGTACCTCCAACTTGTGTCAACTTTTTTTGTTTGCTTTGTAACCACGAGGCCCAATGAGTTCTTGTGCCTTATTTATAAAACTCCCCTCATTGATTACCTACCATGCCCCTACGACATCATCATCCAATTTATACCCCACCTTACCATCTGCCATTCCCAGAATGGTCTCGCCACTCAGCGAATATTCCAGAATTCACCAGCATCCCTTGCAGGAAAGATACTTTGTGCTCAGGGACAGAGACATTCCATTTGTGAAACAAAAACTAAAAGGAAGGCATATATTTAAAATGATTTGTCAAAGAAGCAAGGGTAATTAGGAGAAAAAATGTTTCTCACTCAGTGAAAAGTTAGGGGATGGAATGCACTGCCTGGAAGTATGGTTGAGACAGGTTCAGTTGAAACATTGAAGAAGTTATTGGATGATTATTTGAATAAAAATAATGTACAAGAGCATAGGGAAAAAGCAAGAGGTTGGCACTAGGTCATAATGCTCAGTTGAAGAGCTAGTGCAGGCACAGTGGACTGAATGGCCTCCTCCTGTGCTCTGAAGCTATCATGAATCTGTGATTTCAATGTCATGATGGGCCTCATTGCACTTGTCGTCCGTGTCGCTCAGACCCTTGATTCATTCTGCCCTGTGTCTTGAAATCTAATAATCCAGTTAAGGAGGAAAACTCAAATGGCAAGTCACTTCCTTTGTACGTCAACTAATATTGCCTCAAGAGCAATGTAGAAGGATTGCACCTGGAACTTAGCTTTTTTAAAAAACCTGCAGAACTACCATAGTTTTATTATTGTACTACCCTGATCCAATTTTTTATATGGTTCTTTTAATTCCCTTCCCAAGCCCCATTACCCTTACATTTCTATTTCCACCTTTTACAACACTGTGAAAGATTGTCATCCTTCTGATCTCTCATTACATGGCTTGACATCCATTTCTCAATTTCTGTTTGTGCAGCAAGTTGGGATGTTGCTTTACAGTACATGGGTGATTGATTGTTAACTGTTTCCGAAGAAACTCATCCCTTATCCAATTTACCTTGTACTAAGGTAGTGTTGATACAATGTAGATGTTTGGTTTCCCGAGCTTTTTGTTTTATATCAATTTCAAGGAATGCTTGTACTAACTTGACTCTTTCAATTTCCATCCCACTTACCCATCGTAGGTTAAAAGGTGGATCACAAAACTGATGACAACTCTGCGAGACCCTTCCCTACCACTTCTTGAGTTGCAAGACATTATGACGAATGTTTCAGGCAGGATTCCTGCAAGTGTGGAGAAGGCCATTCGAAAAGTGATAGCCCAGTATGCTAGTAACATCACTTCCGTGCTTACTCAATTCCCCAGCCAGCAGGTAAGGCAAGATTAATGTGTCATGGGAAACCTGAGAAGTCAGATTGTCAGAGGAATAAGGGCTAAAGGGAGCACAGATCATGCTACAATTTAAAAAAAAAAGTTCAAAGTCATTTTCAGGGATTTAACTAATATTGAAAAAGAATAGATTGCCCCGTTATGCCCCTGACAGAACAACTTTTATCCCTCAGAATAATGAGCTGAAATTCAGTTTCTAGAAAACTTCTGTAGCTCACACCTCATTCGAAGGTATGCTTAAAACTGCTGCAGACACCTACTTTTGCATGTTGTGTTGTGTAGGGTGATGGTGATGCCAGTTATAAAATTGCGAATATAGTGGTATCCAATTCTGCTTCTGTTGATGACCCACAGCACTTCATAGACACCTAGTTTTGCTGTTGGTATTTAATAGGGTGATAGGGTCAGGTTGCCTGATCATACATTGGACGATTTTGCCACTGGATACATCTTATCTTTGCTGCGTAGCATTTCTACCAATGCTGTTATGGTGCTTTACCTGCATGAAGCCCTGATGTCAGCTGGAAGTCTTGTCAGGGCTTCTGAAATAGCTGTGGCTTCACTGCCCATCAATGGAGCCACCAACACCGCCATTAACTTTAGCCCTGTACGAATGCTAAGCTTCCTTCTTTGAAGAACCATAATTAAATCAGTAGGGTTTTTAATGCTAATCAAGAAGCTTTTATGCTTATTTTCTTAAAACAACCGACTTATTAGTAGATTTGCTGATTTCAATTGCACAGTTGGCTATAGAGGGACTTTAACTTGCAATTTCAAGGTGATCAGTCCCGGTACCACATTGACAATGTAGTTGCCAATATTTCCTGGTTTTGAAAAATTTTCCTTTAAGATTGCCAACATCTTGGATAGCCATGCAGCCACCCTTCAGCGGAAAGCAGACAGAGAAGTCTTCTTTATGAACACACAGAGCATTGTCCAGTTGGTGCAGCGGTGAGTGGAAAATTCTACATATTATTATTATTATTATTATTATTATTATTATTATTATTATTATTA